CCTGTGGTCCCAGCTACTTGGGAGGCTGAGACAAGAGAATCACCTAAGCCCAAGAGCTGGAGGTTGCTGTGAGCTGTGATGCCATGGCACTCTACCGAGGGTGACAAAGTGAGACTCTGGTCTCAAAACAAAACAAAAACAAGTGGTGAGGATTCTTTGTACCTGCAAGTTAACCTTAAAGTCTAATAAAAATTTGTTAAAAAAAAATACTGGTGGGGGGTGCTCTTATGGAAAATTCCAGAGAACAGCAAGATCAGGCCTAGCATACATCACAGTCACAATTTCTGGGTTTCTGGCATTATTTTTGGAACCTGGTGGTTTTCCGTGCTGGAGGCTGCAGCGCAGGCATTACGGCCTTCAGTCTACACACGCTCAGCCCTCAGTGGTTTGTCATATATGGTTACCTGTATCTAGTGGTCCGAGCACTGCAGCTTTTGCTCAGGTTAGGTTAGTAAACCATCCCATTTTCCGGTGTTCCTTTCTCACTAATTTCAGAGCAGCCGTTTTCCCTGCAACCTGTTCTCTGATGTGTCCAGATTTTGTTATGGATGAAGTGACAACCGATGAGGACTATTTGCTTGGTCCAACTTTAGTCAGGCTTCTGAGTGTTCCCCTTGGCCCAGCTGTGCATTTCCCTGTAAAATCCAGCTTCAGCAATCTCTAGGCAAGTCAATTTAGCAAGAGGCCCCATCCTTGCCATCTGATCACCCTTAGTGTCTTATCTGGTCCCTCCTCCTCCAGATGGCGTCTCTACACCCTGGCCTATCTTTAGCCAGGTCCCCTCACCCCTGATGTTTCTTCTCTCATTTTCTATCCACTGGCCCCCACCCTGCACCTTGGCTATACCCCCTACTTACCTGTGCTGTATTTGGAGTCTGCCATATTTGGAATTGAGCCCCATCTTTCTTCCTGGCTGCAGTGGTTCCCCTGTGGTCCTGCATAGTCTTCTTTACCATAAAAAAGTTTCCAGCGCCTTCTGCTGCCCCTTGAGGTTGCAGCATCCCCACCTGACATGGGAGGAATGGCTCCAGGGCAGCTGTTCCCACAGCCCCAGAGCTCATCCTGCATTCTCTCCAGCACCCTTCTCTCTCCACCGGGTATGAGGAACGCTGAATGAGGCGCTTTCTCCTCTTCGATCTCCCGTGGTACGCAGCAGACCAGGGGGAGGGGATCTCAAACCAGATGGGCTAGCCAGGGTGTGTGCCAGACCGACCTGCTGTGGGGTCCCTGAGCCCAGGGCAGCAGGTGACAGGACAGATGGAAGGTGTCAGCAGGGACTTTGAAACCTGCTTCAGATCCTCCCTGGGGAAGTGTGGAGGGGAGAGAGCAGGGACAGCTGTGAGGCCTTGGGCGAGTTAACTCTCAGCCTCAGCTTCCTCCTCACATAGGCAAGAGGAGCTGGTCTATGACATGCATGTGGCTGTGCCTGCACACAGTAGGCACTTGCTGGTCCCCGGACCCTTGCTATGTTTCCCGGGAAGAGAAAAGGAAACCAAAGACGGCAGGGAGGACAGGTACTTCCCCCTCCTCACATAGCAGGTGACCTATAATGGCCCCTGCTCTCAGAGCGGTGGGGGCTGGACACATCCTCTGCCCACAGTCCCACCGAGGCCCCCCTCAGGCCCAGGGTCACATGTGCTTGGAAAGGACACGGGTGAGAAGGAACACCACAAGGCCAGCAAAAACTGCGTCCCAGTTTCTTTTTATTGATTTTTTTGTTCTTTTTTTCCTTTTTTTTTTAAGTATGGAGGCTCAAGTATAAGATGTAGATTTCTTTTAAGCTTTACAAAAAAAACAAAATAAAACAAAAAACTCCTTTTGCATTCCATAAAAATCGACAGAAAAGCACCTGGCCAGAATTGCAGAACGGTCGGCAGCCCCCCACCCCGACGCCCACACCATGGTCTCCGCGGGACAGGGGCAGGTCTGCGCAGGACAATGCCGAGGGCCCCACCTCTCTCCCAGAGCTGTCCCCTGTCCCCCCCACCCCAACCCCAAGCAACTCCCAAACACACGTGGAATCAGATTTCCAGTTTTTCTTCTATCTTTCACACACCACAGTTATTTCATAAAATTTTTTTGTTTTACATTTTTTACACCAATGTAACAAAAAGGTGGCAGGGAAGGGGAGGCTGACAGTGTATTTTATGCCTATAAATGGGGGGGGGGTGGAAGACAGGAGGGACCCGGGTGAACAAAAAAACACACGGTCTTTATGGAAATACCAAAGAGTTTGAATAGCAAAATGTGGTGGGAAGCAGGCCTTGGAGCCGGAGAAGGGTGTTTATCGGGCTTTATTCTCAGGGAGAGATGGCGCTGTGCGGTCGGTGGATGATGCAAGTTGTTATGTGACCTGTCAGGGAGGGAAGGGACAAGGGAGGGGGAGCAGAAAACGAGTTTTCTAAGAAAGGATCTAATGAGTGCATGGCGTGTCCGGTTAGCATGAAGAGAGGTTTAACACTGCTGCTTTCTCTTCAAAGCCTCCACCAGGTCATTCTTCAGAGCTTCTTGTTTTGATTTGTCTGCAAAAGTCTGCACAGACCTGCAAGGGAGGAAAGGTATTATTAGCAGACCCAATAGGAACTGCTGTGGTGACCACAGGGCAAGGGGCTGCCATGTGGAGCCTGGTTCTGATTTGCTGCAGGGATCAACCTCCCTGGGTAAGGCTCAGGGTCACCAGTCTGGGCACCTGCCCAGCCCCTTAGAGGTGCTTGGGGGAAGCACAGGACCTACGTGGACAGATGCTCACTTCTGCCCCAGGCCTCAGGTGACTTGGCTACAGTCACCAGTCGCCTGCGCCTATATGTGCAGGCCCCAATGTCAAGCTTCGGGCTGGCAACTCAGGCCAAGTGCTAAAAAGGTGAGGACTGGGGGACCACCAGGGCCCCTCTAGAAACTACCCATCTGCTTCATCTCTGTCCAGCAGAGGCGGCTCACTCCTCACCCACAGTGAGGGTGCAGTGGCACCCCTCCCAGCAGATGTGTAAGAACTGGCCTCTCTGCCTGTTAGGAGCACGTGGGGCTTTCAGGCGTCTGCAGAGGCTCTGATGGCTGCTAACTTGGACCAGAAAATCTCTCAGCCGAGATTTCAAAAGGTACCATAGGAAAGAGCTGAGTGGCCCTGGGACTCTGGCTGTTAATCCTGGATTTGTGGGGAAACAATCAAGGTAACTATGTTTATCTGTGTGGTGGACACTTTTCAACAAAGCTAGAAGCTACTAGGGCTTGTGGAGATCTCGCAGCTTACAAAGTGCTTTCCAAACATATTTTCACAAGCATCTTTAGGGAGTCTTAACTATGACCCAATTTATAGATGAGGAAACTGAGGCTTAGAGAAATGCCCCCAGCAATCCCCTGAACAATCATTTTGTCAAATTTACCCAACATACTGGTTAACTAAGAACTTAGTAAACTATTTATAATTTTTTAAAAAACAGTTTAGAGGGCACAGAGAGAGTAGAAAGCTGCCTAAGAGGAAAGGTGAAGGATGGATCAGAATAATAAATCTCCCAAATGTGAAAATGGATAAAGTAAAAGTAAAATGCAGCAGGACCCAGGAAAAGCCCCAGCACCCACACTGATTTCTGGCTACTGAATCCTAGGAAAGCTTGCTAGAGGGTAGCAGAATGAGACCTGGGAGCCATCTGGGAACAGATGCCGACGTTCTGGGGAACACGTGCTTCTGAGTATTTGCCCTGCACTGCCCCTGGCTTGGCAGTGGCCAGGACATCAGCCCCGGGGGCCCTCCAGCTCCAAGTCTCAGCCAGTCCCTCACAGGATTCTTGCAAAGCTTATAATGGTGTTAACGCTGCCAGCAGGAGACATAGTGGGCAAAGCAGTGGCCCCTGGAACTCCCAGCCTGGGCTGTGTTCAGCCAACCCCATCCCACAAAGGAGAAAGTTCCAGAGTCAAAATCAGGTTAGAGGCAAGAAGGTTAGACACGGAATGGATGAAGGCATAAGGAGCAGGGCTCATTTAAGAGACAGGGCTCGGGAAGGTCATTGTCAAGCAACTTTCACACAGTGCCTGGAGGCAGCACTCGACTCACTGTGGGAGGGAGGACTGTCCTGGACACATGGCAACCACTGCCCACTGGGGTTTCATGCTGGGATGCCCCCAGTGGGTGGCCGGGGAACTGCACCATCATGGTGCACCTTAAAAAGGCACACAGACTAGGCTGGGGCACTCAAACCCCCCCCAGGGGGGCCTCAGAAGAACAGCTCCTGTCTGGTTACATAAGTGCCCCAACCCTCCCCACTGTACTTGATCTGGGGTGGGCTTTCTATGTCCAGCCCCTGGACCTGGGCACAAGGAGTGGCCCCCAACCCCTTAGCTCTGCAGCCCCACCCTGATGGGTTTCCAAATGCCTTATTTTTACAGTTTCCCTCCTCTCTAGGGAAGCTGTTTTCCTACATCTGTATTTGTCACAAGCTCAACTCATGGTTCTTGGCCACTATCAACAAGCAAGACTATTTTCCTTTCCATCAGCGTAACTTCTTTGAAAGAACAGCTGCAGCTCATTAGGGGTGGAAGGTTACAATGGCCAGGCAGGCGGGCACTGGGTGCCCTGGGCAGCTCCAGGAGCAATTGGGCTGGAGGTGCACTGGCCAGCCCGGGGGGATTCCAGGCCCCACTCTGTGTACCATCTTCAGAGACAGTACTTGGGGGTATCCCTCCAAGTCAGCCAGTCCCAGACAGTCAATCTGCCCCAAGAAGAGGTCCAACTTAGCTCCTGGGGTCCCTGGTAGAGAAGAGGGGGGCATCCAGTGTGCAAAAGTGGCTGCTGCTTGGGCAGGCAATGTCAGTCCCAGGGCCGGGCCTCTAAAAGCCAACCCCACCCTGAGCCTCCGCGCAGGGTGCAAAGCATACACCACACGTGAGAGAGGTGTCCGTGTTGTGTGGGGTGAGGCTGCACGTTAACGGACCGCTCGCCAGCTATGAGCAGAAAGGGGGTTAGTGGTGGTTTAAATGGCTGCACAACGACAGCTGGACCGGTAGGGTCCCGGCGGGTTGGTGAGTCCTGTTTAGTGGGGAGGGTCTCACGCTCCTCAGGCGGGTACCTGGATTGGCTTAATTATCAGGCTGGATGTAGATCTGGCGCTGGGTCAGCACTTGAGAGAGCTCCCTCTGCAACTGCTTAAACTTTTGGTTGTCAGGGATAGCGTCAATAGATCTAGAGAGTGTTCAGAGAGGAGTGAAGCAGGGAGCAAGGAACAAGAATACAGGACACCAGGGAGGGACAGCGGCTGAGGAGACACTCAGGGCCGGGTCAGGGGCACGCCGAGGCCAAGGCTGCCCAGTGGTGTCTCCACCGCAGAGGTCACACTGGTGGTGGTCTCAAGCACTCACCCCTCTACCCCCCGCAGGCCCTGCCTCTTCTCTTCCCATTTCCTAGCAGGCTGGTGGGTGGGAGGATGTGTT